TGAAATCGTCATCAGGAGGTGCGTGAAAGAAAGATATCAGCAGTAATGCCGTCGTCACATTCTACTACATCCACATTCACTGGTTCACACCCTCGACTAAAATAAACATTAATATTGCTTTTATAATACCTACACCAAGAACAAATAACTAAATTTATCAGTTTGTCTACTTGATATCTGGATTGTTGCTGACAATATATTATTTTATTTCCATGGAGAACGATATTTGAATGTCTTTTTTGCATAGATCGGATGTTAAACAGTTTTATAATAAAAAAATTGAATTTTTCTAATGTGTTCTAATCCGATAAGCTCAGGTTTTTATCTCTGTTCGAGAAATATTCGAAGTCTTTTTTATGATAAGAAAAGCATCGTTTAATAAAATCTTTGTTGAGCTCATTATTGACCTGAATAACGAATGTTTATCTTATGTCCACTCGGAAGCAATCCCTAGCCCATTGTGTGCTATAGAACAAATAATGCTTCTTGACATGCGAGTTTGAAGAAATGTTTATGAGAATTTTTTATTGAGAGTAAAATGAGGACACTATACAACAAAAGGTACTGTATTTCACAATGTTTCCATCGGAGCACCAATCATATTATTTGAAATTGTTCTATTTTGTTATTTTATATGATGCAACAAATGGTTTTGATATTTAGCTTATTGCTTCTAGGAATGTATTGAGCCTATATTGAGTAGTTCAGGCTTCGCCAACTCGGGTGTGAATGTGGGTGTGAAAGGATGTCTATAGGTGTGTGTGTATATGGATGCATCTCCTTTTCTCTCACACCTGAACCCTCGTTGACATGAGAAATATTTCCGATTTTATTTCAAATTTCTAAATGATATGCATTGCAATTATAAAAAGTTGGTAAGTGGGTTTGTGTCTGTTCTCTTTAGTCTCAATCGCCCCCACACCCACATCCACACTCAACTGAATCAATAGAAAGGTCTCTACGCCAGCCCAATTGAATTAAAAATATTCTTTTGCTTTCAGTGTTCAGCGTCAAAACCTATATGATGCAATAAAATTACGCCAAGTCTTTCATCGAATTCGAATAGCAGCACCTCATCGAAGACGCATCTGGTTGGACTCATGTTTTGTATGTCCGTCTAGATGGAACTTTTCTTCGTTAATTGACAATCTACATGTTTTAGACTAAGCTTGCGACTATGCATCCAACTGTACTTCGAAAAGCAATACATCCAGAAGAGTTTCTTTAAGTTTAACCAGTTGGCAGATGTGCCCAGTGGGACACATCGTATCGACATTGCCAACAAAAAACGCGTTCACTGGAAGACACATAGGTTCTTTTAATCATTAAATATGATCAAATGAATGAAAAGATACGAATGCGTACCAAAGTGTTTTTAACGAGTATTTTGTTTCGATGAACCTTCATAAAATATTCACGTTCTCTCTAAACACGTTTATGAAAACCAGTGCTTGATACGTCTAAAATGAGTTTAACGATTACATGGGATTATTATAATAATTATAAAAGTCATTTTTTTATGGCTCATATAATGTGCTTCATTGCAATTAGAAAAGCAATGAATAGTTCCGTATTAGCATCTCACCGTACTGCAACAAAGAATAGTTTCTGGATTACCAACCGTTGAAAGAAGCGCATTCTTATCATTTACTACAGCAAGTAGTATTTTTTTGACTCCTTTTTAGACTTATGAAAAACAATTAAAGACGTTGATTATTTTCTAGCTATTTTTTTACTATTAACTAATTATGTTGTTGTTGAGGAGAAAATTTCAGAAATATAAAATGAGAATCAGTACGCATTTTGAAAATGAAAAGTTCAACAGATAATCAAGTAATCGTAAAACTGGAAGAGATTCAAAGTCATCTGAATCATTTTTCCATCATCAGATCGTTGGTTATTTTCTTCGGATAAACTATTAAAATCCCAAAACTTTGAAAAATTTTCACTTTGGAGTTAAATTCCATTGAGCTACTTGTCCAGAACTCTTTTTGTTCTTTACTAGTGTCTCGATAAATGACATCGTATATAATTGAACAAGAGCGAGAGAACTCAAAATTGCGACGCTAATCAGTAAAAATAAAGAATGAGCACACTATAATTAGGCTGTCATCAACATCTCTACTGCTACAAACATAGACTATATGGTTCAGATTGAATCAATCATTTATAGGATTTATAACTGCATTCGATGGTCCCATGTTTTCACCTTCCATACAATGATATACGTAAATTCTCAACATAGACATAACGTTGCATAAAATAATCATATTTATCATCTAAATCATTTCATTAAGATTAGGATTCCTCTATTAACATGTGTTATTCAAATACTTGGAAACCTGACAAAAAAACCTGCTTAAAAGTTTGCACACTAATATTTAATGACCAAAATTGATAGTGAAAGAAAAAAATTACAGTTAAAAAAATCAAACCAGTCAGTTGTTTTTTATCGATATTTATGATTAATAGTAATTGCTTAATAGAATGGAACTTTGAATAACTAGTAATGCATGAAGAAAATTCCTGATCTTACGCGACAAAAATGATTCCTGTGAAATACTTGATATCCAATAGAAGTTTTTTAACATTATAATTAGTTTTAGACCAGCCATCGCATCTGCGCATGCTTGATTCAATTACAAAACTTTCATTTGTAACTTCTTTACTTCATGTACTTCAAATGATATTCAATGTAAATAATCAATCTATCATGCATGACTCAATCATACACCTAACATATCATATAATGTGGAGCCGCCTCATTTTCGTATGAAGAAAAAACAAGCAGAACGAAGACGAATAAAGTATACGCACACATGCCATTAATATAAAAAATTAAAAGAAAGGTTTCATCTTTCAATACTTCCACTTGAAGGTGACGCTTAAATCAGACATGGACAATAGACAACAAATACGAGACATCATCAAAGTCAAGTTCAATAAGCAAGAAGTGGACGCATCACTATGCGTATAAGTATGTGTCCTCTGAACAGCTGTGATCGAATATTCTATTAGTAGCATTGTTATACAAATTGTCCTTTATTGTTTGGTTCTTATTTAACATATATATTTATAATTCAACGAGGAATAAAATCATGTTGACATTTTCTCAGCTTCTATATATATATATCATTACACGCATTTCCAAATATAAAAGTTCAGAAGGTACTCAAATATATATTTATATATATATATATGTATGAACCACAGTCATAAAGAAGTTTACACCACACATAGATCGTCTATCATTGATAGATGATCGAGTAATAAAAATGAATCGTAGAATTCAAACTTTTTTTCTCTCATTTTCTGATAAGAGATACTATCTATTATTATTGTTGTTTTCTCTTTTTTCTCTGGTTCATTGCAACAAACGAACATCATTTATCATTCAAATGAATATTTCCTGTGTGTGAACATTCAATCAACAACATTTCATATGTCTGAATACAAAATGCTAAGAGAAAAAGTTAATCCTTGTTCTTAACTGTGTTCATCCAACTGCAAATAACATATTTCATGATTTGGTGAGTTTCTTTGACGTAATTTTCGAGTGAATGACACCTGCTGCTACCAAATGGACACTATTGCTTGATCACCCATTCGATTGAATTAGTCGTTTCGTTGATTAGAACGACTGTTGTCATACGATGAAAATACTTAATCACATTTTCTGTTCATTCCACTCGCCGGGAGGCAAACACTTGTGTCTGCTCTTCTTACTCTTATGTGCGCCACTGGTATTATTTCTTTCAAGACGTTACCTACCATCTATTTCTTCTCATGGCTTCGTCTTCTTCTTCTTCTTCTATACTGCTCGTTAATCATGATAAATGTTCAATTAGGACTGTCTGTTTTAATCGTTCTTGTCTGCTTGATGATCAATACTTCTGATGATCCAGGCGTGTTACTATTTGTTTTTTTTCTTCACCATACACTCGAACATGATATCCAGTCATCGTGAATTCATCAGTATGCATTACAATGGAATCACTGACATTACTATCATCATTAAAAAGAAGGACAAGGACGATAAGAAGAGAGAGAAACAGATTAAAAGAAAAGTTCACCAAGACGAAGAACATAGACAGATATCCGGGCACGCGACAATTACTGTTAGAATTGTCTATGTCTGCCTACAATGGTTGTATATGACAACTTTTAGATCAAAATCTGTTTCCGGCATAGATTGATTCTATGTACAAAATGATTCGAAAAAATAAAAGATTATATGAACTTGACTTTGTCGTTTTAGCTTTTATCATAACTAATCTGATTATTCTATCTTTTTTTTTGAATAATTATAAGATCACAAAAAATATAAACGGCATGTCAATCTTCACACTAAATGGTCTAGTAGTTAATGAAACAGGTCATCTTCCTTGTTGCATTGACTGGAATTATCCATGTCTCGACATTCTGCATCAATCATTCGCTCTTTTTTTCTCTCTTCTCTTACATTTCGTGATTGTCCACTTTTCTTTTCCTCTTCCTCTCCGATCACTTCATACAATCTAGTCTGATTGACCCTGGCATGAGATGATTGAATGCATTGTTTCCTCTTCTTTTTCTTCCATTTTAAATCGATTGACGCAAAAAAAAGAAACTGCTCATAGATTTCCAAATAGTTGAAATGATGGTGAGTTCTATGCATTTGATTTAATGATGACATAAGTTGTATACTATTCTAAAAGATTAAATGACATAAGCATACAATAATCATAGTATACGCTCGTTGTTATACCAGTCTGCAATTAAATTCAATAAAAAAAGATCTGTTCGTTTATATTATTGCAGACAATAAAAGAGAGTTGTGCATGTTCTTCACAAAAAAGAGAAAATGAACTTTAAATAGCCAACAGTTGCGTCCGAATAAGAGAAAAAGAGAATGAATAAGTTTCTACGACTATTCCTAGTGCTTCATCATCATTCTTTTTAACGTTTTCTTATTTCTATCATATATATTTTAGTAAATCGATGCAAGTAATTTTATATAAATGACTACAACTTATATATGTCAACATTGTTCGCAATTGCCTCCACCTCCACCAATATTTTCGATGGGCCCACCACCAAATATTTTATCTATTGATATTCGTTGTTCTTCTCGTTTGTTATCATCATCATCGATACAACATAAAAAAGTCATTTCATCATCGTCATCATCGTCTGTATCTGTCGCTTTGGGAATCATGATCGCTTTACTTATCTCAACTGGTATCATTCTTTTAATCAAGTAAATAAAAATTCTTTTCTTTTCTTTTCTTTTCTATTCTCATTTCGATCATTAAAGTCTCTCAGGTGTCAAAATATAAGATTTAATTTCCATAATGAACAAATGACACTTCTCTCTATTCAGAACTAATCACATATATTATATATACGCGCGTTCATTTGTTTCTCACAGCAGGAGATAACAAGTCATGATTTTTTTTTAGTTGGAACTGCGTAGCACAGCATGCATGCATGCATTGCTTTTTCGAAGAGAATCGATCATAGAAAAATATTGATCTAATTTGTTCGACATGCATATATGCTGAATAAATATAAGAGATATACATATATGATAAAACTTTTTATATGTTTAAACATTTGAAAATGAATTTTTTTTTTTTCGTAATTTTAGACATCTGATGGTCAAACGACGGCAACCTCGTCAAAGAAAATATGATGATAGTTCTTTATCGGTCAAATTCAATGGACATAATCATGATCAAAATTGGACAGTAAGTTTTTCGTTTTTTTTCATGATATTAAATTGGCCAAACAGAATGTATATAGAGAATGTAAATCTATCATGTAAAAGTAATCAGATAGATAGACAGACAGACAGACGTTTAAACAGCTGACGAAGTTTTAAATCAATATTGTCACTGATTAGATAGAATGAAAATAAAATCTTTTTTATTTGAATTCTAGAAATTTCTTCCATTATTAAGTGATAGTTGTAGTAGTGATCAAACGTTCAGTACACCTCCAAGTGAATATCCTTGTGGTTTTATTGAACCACTTTTAACAAATGATATTCATCATGAATATGAACAAATTCAACATGAAAATTCATCACATTATTATTGTCTTATTTATTGTCGTCAATGTGCTAGTTATCATCAGACATCATCATCATCATCTTTATGTCGTCAAACAAATCTTATGCAATCATATTATCAATATCAATGTACATGTCATCCTCAAAATAATAATCATTTATTTGAACTTCAACCAATGTTAAGAATAAATAAAGATGATTTAAATCATCCACTATCAATTTAAATTGTTATTTTTGTTTTAACCCTGTGATTATTTATTTCCTTTTTTGTGTGTGTATGTATATAATCATGTATCACTGTCTTTTTTATTTGTTCTGTTTTGACAAATATTTTCGACAAAAATAAACAAGGTTATGCCTACAGTACATTATTTTATCAGTTTGAATAGAATAATAGTTGAGTTTAATACTAATTTCATTCGTAAAATATCTTTGGAAATCGCTTGTATGAAAAATTAAATAGGTTAGGTCGATCTAATATACAAATCAACATTGGATCAGAGAGTAGTTGGTACTGATTTGTTTTCTGAATATTTAATTGATGTCGTCAAGTTTCAATATTATTTCATTACTTTTCCCCAACCAAGTACTACGAAAATGAATAGAAGTTTTGAGTAAATTTATACAATAAAAACAGGAAATTTAATAAAATATGCCAATTTATCCGATACTGGTACCATCTCTAACTCATGCGTTATCTATAGAAGACGAGCTAGTTTTTGATTTAAATCCATAGTCAAGAAAAATATAATAAAAATAATATTTGCTTTTTTTATAAATATTGATAATCTGTAAGAAAAGTTTTGTGCAGCAGTAACCGATGGTTTACAATTAACTGAAAAAAACGAATTTTATAGTATAAAATAAATTTATTGTTGTGTCGATAAAGTACAAAAAAACCGTTGAAAGAAAATTGTTAATTATATGAAAATGTTGAAACAAATTTACAGTTATGTATTTGATCATCAAAGTAAAAATTTTATATAATTTAGCAAACAAAAACATATATCAAACACATGATTTGACACCTATAGAAATTATTATTAAAAGTGAAGTTTTATTAGTAAAAGTTAAAAGAAAAGAAAATCAATATTGTCTAGCGATAATTTTTAATAGAATGATGGATCTTGAATTCTCGAAAGGCTGCAGTAGTTTCTAAATGATATCATCTAAGATAATATGATTCTTTTCTCATTTAAGCCTGTTACGAAGCTTGATCTCGCTTACATACGGTTTTCCATATTATATTTATACAAACAAATGTACAAATTCATAAACAAATAGCTTTTATTAAAACACAGCAGTAAACAATAAAACCCAAACATCTAGACGATGATTTGGTTTTAAAATATTCATTAATAACAGAATTAATTTTTATATCTAAATTTCGAAAGATATATATCATTGCTATTCTAATAAGTGTTGCTTTTCTGATATTGTTGTTCTTGGAACTTACTGCTTGTTTTTTTGAAAAATTTAATTATTTAGAAGTACATTTTAGACTAAAAAGATAGATGAATCGACATTAAACAAAACAGTCTTAAGAATAAAGAAAAAAGCTAACGTATCATCAGTATATGTCAGAGTTTTTCCAAGGATATTCGATTAAAACATCAAATCATTTTCAGAAGATATTCAAAACCTCGAATCAGATACTTTAGATAATCCTTGTTCAAGTTAAAGCTGCAATGCTGTTTCATTTGTTTTTTAATTAGTAGCTGTTACTCACTAGAGATCTTTTTACTAAACATTGGAATCACAATTTAACGACTGAAGCTGACATCTTTTGGTGACTTTCTCGAGTTTAAAATTTTAATTACTTTGTATAAATATTTATCAAGGAGACAATGTAAGAGACCTCTTTATTACTTTTATAGTCGAGACAATAGTGATCGTTGAACTGCTGTATTGCTAGATCCGTAACTGTTGTAACATCTAATATTGAGTGACATCTATGTCATTGTGACGATTTTATTAATTTTCATAAGCCAATAATAATAAATCTTTCTCAAAAATAAAAAATAAAAGAATCATTTTTGTATTAGAATTCCTTCATTTGCAATAGCAGACATGGCGAGTATGGTCGAACCAAGTCATCGTTCAATTGAAATTCCGTTGCATTCTGGTGATGAAGTAGGTTTATATCAGTATATTTTGATTTCGATATTTTTTGTTTTCTTTATTTTAATCATTAACTATATAGGTTATTGAAGTAAGTCTTGATCAACTTCCAGATGGACAAGAAGTTCTTGCTATACTTCAACAAGAAAATTGTCCATTACATATATGGGTTACACTCGCTGTAAGTTTTCTTGTTTTAATGTGTTTTGTTTTTTGACGAATAAAATTAAACAAGTAAAATAATCTTTTAGTTGGAATATTATCGTCAAGATAAAGAAAAAGATTTTGTTGAAATTCTTAAATCAGCATGTAATGAAATAAATAATCAACGACAACAACAAACATCTGGACAACGTGCACAGGAAACTGATCAAATGCGTTGTTTAGATACATTAGCTGCTTATTATGTTAAACGTGGTCACCGTGAAAAAGCTAAAGAAAAAAAACGCGAATATTTTACTCAAGCTACATTACTTTATACACATGCTGATAAAATTCTTATGTATGATCTTAATCATTTACTTGGTCGAGCCTACATTTGTTTACTCGAAGGTGATAAAATGGATCAAGCTGAACAACAATTTAATTTTGTTCTTAATCAAGTAAAATTAAAAAAAGAACAATTATTTTCTTTTATTTAACTATTTGTGTTTTGTTTTTACTTTAAATAAGATGCAAAATAATATTCCGGCATTACTTGGCCGTGCTTGTATAGCATTTAATAAAAAAGATTATCGACAAGCATTAAATTTATATAAACGTGCTTTAAAACAAGCACCAGAAAATTCTTCCGGTATTCATGTTGGTTTAGCAAATGCATTTGCAAAATTAAATAAACTTGAAAAAGCTGAGTAAGATAATTGAATAGAAAAAAAAAAAATTTTCTTCTATATATCTTAGTTATTTTCTTTCTCTTAAAAAGATTAGCATTTAATCGTGCAATTGATATTGATCCAAAATGTGTTGGTGCATTAGTAGGTTTAGCTATACTTGAATTAAATATGAAAACACCTGCATCAATTCGTAATGGTGTTGTTAAACTTTCTCGAGCATATCAATATGATCCACAAAATCCAATGGTTTTAAATCATTTAGCAAATCATTTTTTCTTTAAAAAAGTTTGTTACATTTTTCTTTTTTTGAAAACTTTTGTTTTTAATCATAAGTCGTTTTTAAGGATTATACACGTGTTCGTCAATTAGCAATGCATGCATTAAATTATACAGAAAATGAAGCAATGCGTGCTGAAAGTTGTTATCATTTAGCTCGAGCTTATCATGCTGAACGTGATTATGAAGAAGCTTTTCGATATTATTATCAAGCAACACATTTAGCACCAGAAAAATTTGTTTTGCCATTATTTGGTCTAGGACAAATGTATTTACAAAGAGAAGATACAGCAAATGTTTGTTAAATTTATTGTTTTATTAGTTTTTTTTTTCAAAGTTTGCTTCAATGTTTTTTTTTTGTAGGCAAGTGATTGTTTTGAAAAAATTTTAAAAATTCATCCAAATGATCATGAATCAATGAAAATATTAGCTAGTATATATGCTGAATCGAATGATCAAGAGAAACGAGAAAAAGCAAAAGAATATTTGAAAAAAGTCACACAACATGATCCACATGATATTGATTCGTGGATTCAATTGGCAGAAATTCTTGAAGGAGTTGATTTACAAGGTATGGCTTTTTTTTTTCTCGGAAGCATTCCACTAAATACATTCAATGATATGAAATTGAATTTCATTATATTCAACTTGCTAGAAGGAAAACTTAATCAAAGAAATCATTTGAGAATTCAATCCAATAAAAAAAGATCGAATAATTTTCTTTTTTGTATTGATTTAGTTTCATTGGATGCTTATATGATGGCATCAAAATTAATTCGTGATTTTCATGGTAAAGATACTCCAATGGAAATGCTTAATAATATGGGTTCATTACATTATCGTTTAAATAATTATGAAGAAAGTGGAAAATGTTTTGACAAAGGTATATCTTATGCTGAACAAGCTCGTGAAGTTGAACCTGCATATGCCAATTCAATTCTTGTTACAATGCGTTATAATCTAGCACGTGTATGTGAAGCATCTTTTGAATTTGATAAAGCTGAATCATTATATAAGGAAATTTTACGTGAACATCCAAAATATGTTGATTGTGTACTTCGTTTGGGTTGTATGGCTCGTGATCGTGGACAAATTTATAGTGCATCTGATTGGTTTAAAGATGCACTTGAAATCAATCACAATTCACCAGATGCATGGACAATGATTGGAAATTTACATGCTGCTAAACAGGAATGGAGACCTGGACAAAAGAAATTCGAAAGAATTTTACATAATCCACAAACAGCAAATGATTCTTATGCTTTAATATCATTAGGAAATATTTGGTTACAAACTTTATATATGCCAACACGTGATAAAGAAAGAGTAAGATTTATTATACAAAAAAAATTCTATTTCTTTCGTTTTACATCTTTCTTTTCAGTTTAAGTTGAAAGATTCTCGCACTCTGTCGTTTTTCTCAATCTGAACTTTTCAGATTTTCCGTTTTTTGTTTTGCTCTGCATATGCTTTGAAATGTTTTCTATGGGCTGAGTTAAAATATAATTATAAAAGTTGAAACATCTGACAGGAGAGAACATTTTCATAAAAAAAAAAAAATTTCATTTTATTTCTCTGATTTTGACAAGACAAAGCAGAGAATCATCTTCCATTTATCATTTATCTTGCGTCTGTCAAAAAGGCATGAATTTTTGACGATGCACTTAGGATTTTTCTATTTTTATTCGAACAATAGGAGATGAAAGGGAACCAAAAGACCTAGGCACCTTAAACAGTGTTCAGTATTTGTAGAAAAATGCTCAGCTCTATCGCATATGTTGCAGCTGAGAATAGGTGGCAATAAAAGAGTTCAATGTTAACATTTGTGACTCGAATATTTCCTAGAGGAAAGTATCCAGGAAGGTTCAGACTTGACTTTCAAATATGAAATCGAAACCTGAACTAAAAAATAATAACTTTGTAACTACTTACGGATTCTTCCATCTGTCAAAAGTTTCTTGAAAATGGTTTAAAGAATTAATTTGAGAATTATGGAGCAGATCTGTCTCTATCATTATAGTAAAAGTTTGTTTTACGCATATAAAGAACTAAATATATATTTCAATTATCATGATTCTCTGTTTAATGCCATCGTTACCTTCGATTTGTACATATGAAAACTTCTCATAATAAAAAAAAAATGTATGATACTACATTGATTTTTTTATTTAGGAAAAACGCCATCAAGCTCGTGCTCTTCAAGTATATAAAGTTGTTCTTAAAAATGATAATCGAAACATTTGGGCAGCCAATGGCGTCGGCTGTGTTTTAGCTCATAAAGGATATTTAAATGAAGCTCGTGACATATTTGCACAAGTTCGTGAAGCAACTGCTGATATGCCAGATGTTTGGCTTAATATCGCACATATTTATGTCGAACAAAAGCAATATATACCTGCTGTGCAAATGTATGAAAATTGTTTGAAAAAGTTTTATAAATATAATAATGTCGAAGTATTAACATATTTGGCTCGTGCATTAGTTAAAGGTAATCGTTTACATGAAGCACATAATGCTTTATTAAATGCTCGACGTGTTGCACCACATGATCTTACATTAATGTATAATATTGCATTAGTACAACAAAAATTAGCTCAAGAGATTTTAAAAGATGAAAATTCAACATTGATTTCTGTTCTTCAAGCAATTGATCAACTTCGAATTGCTCAAAAGTAAAATCAAAATTTCGAGAGAAAACTTTTTTTTCATTTTTCTCTTAAAGATCATTTACATGGCTTGGTGAACATGGTGATCCACATCGTCTAGATTTAAATCAAGCATTACAAGAAGCACGACAATGTTCAGATTTATTATCTCAATCAACTTATCATGAAATTCGTGCACGAAAGAAAGATGAAGAAGAACAACTTGTACGAAAAAAACAAGATGAAGAAAGAAGAAAATTACGTGAAAAACAATTTCAAGAAGCGGTATGAATTTTATTGATTAAAGTTCTTTTTTGTTGTTCTTAGTAGAATTTTCTGTTTTCTTCCAGGAAGACCGACGTCGACAAGAAGATGAACGAAGACGAATGGAACGTGAAAAACGTCAACAATTTGTTGAACGTACGAAAAATTTATTAACTACAGAATCACAAGTTACATCAGAAAAAAGTCAACGATCAACTGGTGGAACTAAAAAGGTATTTCATATTTTGTTTTTAAAGATCCCTCAAAAATCGAGTTTACCTCATGAACATCCAAATCATATTAAATTGTCAGGATATTTGGGACGGCAGCAAAGAAGCTATGGTAATATTTTCAGCTCAATACTATTATGTGTTCGTGAAATATTATTTACCAAACATAACTAATTTAGCAGCATTAAATTCTCTGAAGATCTTCATTTTACATACTTTATTTTTCTTTTATTTGAAGAGATATGTTAGACTGCAGTACCTGACATAATCTTTCAAAACAAAAAAAAAATAAAGTGTACCGAATGAAGATTCACAGTGGATATGGGTTGCCTAATTAACTACTTGTGATCCTTGTTTGATGAATAATTAGATTAAGTTATCACGAACGTAAACGTCTAGTTTAAATGACCTTTTCGTCATTTGATCGGCACAGTATTATGACTATATTTTATTGTATTGTAAACGGTTGGATACTCAATTTTTCGGACTGTTATTAACTGTGCATCGAACGATGACATACGGTTGCAATACTACATCTACCAAACCTCAACTCAAGGCTAATTACTACTGCAAATTTTATCAAACGACAATATAGAGTACAGTTTGTGGTCGTCTCGGCAACTGTAATCATCATTCTTGGTACTGAGTTGAAAATTTCATCATAGCTTCTCTAATATCGTTCCAACATATGCTGACCGTTTCATGCGATTAGATTATTAGTGTCTAAAACTGATTTTAAGGAAAGAGAAACTTGACTATTCTTAAGTTTTATTTTGTTCAATTAATCTAGAGACAAAAACATGATGATGAAGAAGAATTTATTAATGATACAACTGATCTTATCGCAAATACAGAAAGAGCACAGAAAAAACGAGCGAAAAAATCTTCCGATGTCGAAGATAGACGTGAAAGAAAATCATCGAAGTATGTTATTTAAATTTATATTTCAACAAAGAAAAAGAGAATTTTGTTTTTTCTTTTTCTTTTTCGTTTAATAGAAAACGAAAAATAATTGCTAGAAGTGATAGTGAAAATGAAAATGGTGAAGCAGTTAAACGTAAAAAGAAATCAAATCATAAAAAACGATCAAGTAGAATAACAACAAATGATGATGAAGTATCTCAAGATAATGAAGAGCAATTATCTGCCAATGAACAAGACGATAATGAAAGTGATAACGAAGATAAACCAAAACGAAAACCGACATCGAGAAAATCAGTAAGAAGAACAAAAAAACATAAAATTTATAATAATATCTTGTTTTGTAATTTGATCTTTTTTAGACAAGTCGGTCAAAACGTTCAAGTTCATCGAAAGTATGTTTTTTATTTTATTCGATTAGAAATATTTGATTTTTTTTTGTAGACATCTCAACGACAATCTGAGCAAAGTGGTCGTTATAAATCAAAAGCAACTATTTCAAGTAGTGAGGATGAATCCGATAATGAACCATCACATCCAACAAATCGATCAGCTGAAGATCAAGAAGGAGAAGAAGAAGAAGAAGACGAAGAAGAAGTTGAAGATGCTAATGAAGGGTAAATCATTATACTATATAACGAAAAAACTAACGAATGTTTCTCGAAGAATCGATCTCTATGTGTTCTCATAATATCTCTTATAATATTCGTTGGTTCAGACTTGTTTTTTCATTGAAAAAAATCGTCTTTTACTAAACTATTCGGTGGTCAATGTTTACTAGGTCTAAGAAAACCCCACTGTAAGCTATATAAAACGACGAAAACTAATTTCGTGATGTCGTCGTTTTACAGAAGCCCGTAAAGCAGAATTACATATGATGGAAAAACTATAGGGAGTAATATGTCGTCTTATAGCTGTTTCCAATAGTTCAAATGATTGTCTTGGGTTCATCTCCATAATAGAGGAAAAGTTGATACTGCATCATTAATTGTATTAATTGATGAATATGAGCAGAATAGTGCATGCACAATCTCGTATATCAATTAATACAACACAAGAACGGTGCTACAATAATTTTTCTTCTATCGTTAAACAAGAAACACTGACCACCAATTAAAAGATACTCTTATAAAACAACTGAAATAGATGTTTAAATAAAGTCGATAAAAGGGTCTTTTAGAAAATGTTGTATTTTTGAATGTTTCATCGAAGCAAGTCTTCAAAAATCCGAATCAAGGAGTATTACAAGAGATAATACTAAAATACAAAAAGGCTCACTCTTCTTAATGCACTCATTACATTACATTAGTTGAACAAGATCTTTTCTTCATTAGTTAAAGTTAATTTCTTGATATCAAAGCCAATGAACTCATATGTCGACACAACTCATTTTTATTATGGTTTACTGTAATTTATCGTTTTTATCTAATTCTGAATAGGGTATAGAGATGTACACGATCCTAGTCGTCTATCAATATCGATAGAGAAAAATCTTACGAATAGTCTGAATGAAAAAAAAATGGCATTTTTGTCATTGGAAATTAACTCTCAAAATTCTCTTTTCGGATTATTCGTCTATATGTTGACTTCCTTAAACACTTTACGTAAATTAACACTTTTTTGTTTTAGATCACCGGTTGAAGAAGCTGAACAAGAAGAAAAAGAAGAAGAAGAGGAAACAGCTCAAGACGAAGAGCAAGAACCAGAAGAAGAAGAGCAAGAGGAACAGGCACCTGAAGATATAGACGTCAGCGACGAAGATTAATGCTTTTTCTTTAAGAACATTAGATATTAATTGTTTATTGTACATTTTTTTTTTCGTATTTAAAGACAATATATTGAGTTTCGAAAAAAAAAAAAGATTCATTTCTCTTCTTTTATATATATTTCAGATTCAATAGATATGGCAAATACTGATGTACTCGATATTCTTTCTGATACAGTTCCATCAACAAATCGAGGAACAGCAAATAAAGATGAAATTATTCGTGAAAAAGTAATTTTTTTTTTTCGTTGTTATTAAATTCAATTTATTATTTTTCTTTTTTTATTAGAAAAAAGGTCCAAAAAAAAGTATTCGTCGACCAGAAGGTATGAAACGTGAAGTATGGAGTTTAATCGCACAAGATGATCGGTAAATCAAAACGAAGATTTTCTAAAAATCAAATTTTTTTCTTCTTTAAATATTCAGTGAAAGTGTTCCAATTGTTCCAACCGATACAAAATCTGGCGGTAATTCTTATGCTAAATGGATAAAGCATTCTGCAATGAAAGTTCGTTCATGGCAATGGACACCATTTACCAATTCTGCACGCGGTTCGAATGACACATTTGTTCTTTATCATTGGCAACATAAACCAAATGCTGATGATCCACCACAAGAATATCCATTTGCAAAATTTAATAAAGTAAGTAAAAAAAAAAGAATTTTTTTTTTTATTGAAATTTTCTTTTTTAAAATGATTAGCATGTTGATGTTCCAACATATACAGATAGTGAATATGAACAATATTTACAAGATAAAGATTGGAGTCGAACTGAAACCGATGCTTTATTTGATTTATGTAGAAGATTTGAATTAAAATTTTTAATTATTCATGATAGATGGAATAATATTTTATATCCTGATAGATCTGTTGAAGATTTAAAAGAAAGATATTATACAATATGTACAACTCTTGAATATGTAAGGATTTATAAAAGAAAAAAAATGTTTTTTTTTTCTTCTATTTTATTAATTATACATTAAAATAGGCTCGAACAAAACGTCATAGTGATAAATATAATTTTGATGCTGCTCATGAACGTCGACGGAAAGAACAATTAAATAAATTATTAAGTCGTACAAAAGCTGAAGTAAGAAAATCAGTTTTAAATAAATAAAAAAACAGAATGTTAGTATAAGCCCGATGGAATTAAAGTGTGAAACACGATGAAATAGTCTAGACATTGTCAATAACAAACGTTATTAATATATATATACAGGCAAAAAAGACTCAACCCTATCCAACAATAGTGCTAGAAATCTGAAAATTTGTGTGGACATACTCTAGTAAGAGGGTAGAGTAACGGCAAAAGTCTACCACGATTGTGCAAGAATGAACAGAATTATCAAAGGTAACGATGGATAGCATCTATTGCTCCTTTGAGCTTTTCAATTCTTGAAAATACGAGTTGCGCTGGCTGATAATACCTTATTATCTCGATTCATTTTTTAGTTATTTATGCAACTAATTTTATGGAAGTTCGCGAATCTTTACTAGAAATGTTAATATTTTTCTATTATCATTGGTGTGCAGGAACATTATCGATTGTCCCTTAAATAGAGTTCATCGAATTCGATAACATGTCTCAGTTCACTACTAAATATTCTTTGTTGACGAGATTCGAAAACTTTAGACTCGATAGCCTTTATCGTTGAGATTAGAACTAACTAATAGTTCAGTAGATGAAACTCAAACTCTTTGAAAAGCTTCTTCTGTAGTTGAATATTAATATTCATGACCTTCATAAAAGAACCTTGTATTCAAGAAAAATGACAACTAATAACCATCGTGTTAAGGATGTACAATTGTCAGAGACATCTATTCATTATAATTCTCTTTGTTTTCACTCAAACGAGGTAGAATTTTGCCGCTGATCCGCATTCTTGATGAAGGGTGTCTACAGACGAGTTATCAGCTGCTGCTAATGTATTTTGATGATGAAAGACGTTAACCGTAATATACTGCAATGAGTGAGAAGGAAGGAAAACGAACAACTATATTAAATTCAGTTGTGTTGCATACTAATCCTACAGTAGACTTTTGTTCGTACACGTGTGGCACCATACGTAAGGAGGAAGCAGCACTAATGAAGGTGTTTATCATGATTCAATGTAGAAGAGTGCAAATATCTAACTTGATACTTCAACAGTCTTTTTGGATTGTGTTTCATAAAAAAAACCTGAAGCTTTAATTTTTTTTAGGAAGAAGAAGAATTATATTTAATGAATGAATTAAAACGTATTGAAAATGAACGTAAAGAACGTGAACGTGTTATTTCACAAGATGTTCAAAAATTTGTTCAACAACAAGATCAAAATGTTTTAACAATAAATAATTCCATACAACGCACTGTTTCATCATCATCAAGACGATCATCAATTAATCAAGAGTATCTTCAACGTCTTAATAGTTCATCAAATCGAACATCGACAACACAAAGAATTGTAAAAAAAAAAGAAACAAGGAAAATGATAATTTCTATGAATTTAATTTGTTCCATTTTTTTTAGACAACATGTGATCCACCAGCTGGAATTAAATTTCCTGAATTTAAACGTCCCGGTGTTTTTTTACGTAGTCAACGTGTAAGTTTTCATATTAATCAAAGTAAGCTATTTATTCCTTATTCAATATAGATGATATTACCATCATCAATACCAAATAAAAAATTAGCTGTTATTGATCAAGTTCTTAAACAATGTCAATTAGGTATGCAATTTTAATTTAAAAACAAAAAACTAAATTAAAATTTTTATTTTAGAAAGAAATCCAATGGCATGTGAAGAAATTGTTGATGAATTTAATGATTTACGTTCGGATATTATTCTTTTATTTGATCTTAAAAATGCATTGAATTCAGCTGAATATGAATTACAAACAGCATTACATCGTTTAAAAAGTGAGAATGGATCAACAAATATCGTAATTTCATCAACACAACCATTAAGTGCTAATAGTACTTCATCAAATGATACTGCAAGAACAGTAAATAATTCGCAACAAAAATTTAAAAAAAAACTTATTTCATGTTTTCATCTGTTTTTCTTTCGTTTTAGCAATTTGATTTCTTATTATCACAACCAAGTACACCAACTGACAATATAACATCACCTAGATTATCTGATTCATTTGAACCAGTTAATACTGTTCGTTCAAGTACTAGTGTAAGACTTTTAAGATTATTTCTAATAGGAATATGTATTGATGTTCAATCAATTGAATTCGTTTTTTCTATGGTCAGATTTTTATCATTTATTTATATTAATATATTATATAGAGAATATGTATTCTATATTCATCTTGAATAATGGATAAAGTTATTCAAGGTCAATCTTAATCATATTAGAAAATATAGAAAAAAGATTATTCCATTTTTGTTGTCATATTGATTTTATTTTCTATTCAATATTTGCTTTTCTTTTATTTATCTAACGAAGAAATAATGGTACTCATGGTATCTTATGAATAATATCTCGTTCAACTTTAATTGTGAATAATTGAATTTATATTCAAATAAAGTCTATTAAAATTCTCTACGCGGTCTCTAGGAAACGTTTTTCTATAGTAAACGATACAGATATATTAGCATAAGAATATTTTTCAAGCATGACATGGTCAATTTTCTAAGCCAATTTTTTAAAAACTATTAGAAAACTTTTAAAGAATTTCAAAAGCAAAAAAGAAATCAGTAATAGAGATATAAGATATTTCAAAATGCCTTACTCAGTATCGTGTAGCTTGAAATTCGTTGAAACCAGGTAAAAAGTCTATTATAAATAACAAAAATCTAATTTTGTTTTTGGTAGTTGAATTTGTATAGAAAAATGTAGGTTAACTTTTAACTTTAAGTCTGACGTAGTTGTCATCTTTTATCAAAATAAAATAAATTCGAACTCAAACGATGCAATTTTCACGTACGAGAGAAGTTATCCATTCCAATTGATTAATTGTTCTTGAGTTGTAGCTATATGTATCATGTTGATTATTAAGTCTCGGAATAGTTTGAGTCCTTAGCTAATTGCTATGTAAGTACTGAATTGTTACGTGATTTTTCAAGTAAATTTTGTGGATCCATTGAGAGACATCTAGAAAGTTGATTTTTAAATTGAAGAATAGGCTATTATGAGAGTTTTATGATTCTTAACGTACTTCTATCCTGAAATAAAAACATCAGATCTACTAATACGTATAATCGATGTACTGAATACGCTTTATCATAGTCGAATCTTAGGATAGAAACAACGAAAAGATCTGAAACTTTCTCAGAAAAAAATATTCTCGTTAAGTTCTGTTTCTGTTCAAAAGTACGGTTCGAAAATAAATTTTCGTGGTGCTCCGAAGAGGATCACAGTATTAACTTGCAAAATAGCATAAAAATGCCATATTTTCTCAGCAATAAACTGAGTGTTCAAACTTTTTTCAAGATATTTGGAGCTTATTACGATCCACATAATGCATATATTACTGAGTTAAATACCTATATTATCTTCAATTAATAATAATTAGGCAATGAAAAATTATTAAAAAAAAACAACAGAAACACTTTTTTGTGTAGAAAATGATTCGTTTTATACATGTTGATTAGTCCTGTTTGTCTATTTCTATTTTATTCTCGATAGAAAAATGTTTGCTACCGACCTTGGATTGATGTCAACGAAGAATCATTTTAGTCTATGCTCAACTCTTCATGATTAAAGTTGATCGAATCATCCATAAGATATTGAAGATCCCATGATTTTCGAAGCAACCATTATTAACATTTAAATAGTTTTTTTTTTCTGTCTCAATATAGAATAAATTCAGTCTCAGATCAATGTGTATGTTGTTTCATAGAAATAGATTAATCATGAATAGTTGTTGAAGTAAGCTTTATTTGTGATTCAAGGTGAACATCTGATAAGGATGCAGTGTATTTCGCACTTTTTCACTGTATATGATATGTTAACATAAAAACGATAGAAATATGATCCATCCTTCGTCATTTATCAATGAAAAAAAATCGAGTATTTGATTCGGAAGCTTCATTCGATCGATGATTGGACGTTAACATGTATTCTTAGTCACATGCAGTATTGATTTCATAGTTTTTTTATATAATTTACAGGAAAGAAAACGTCGGGCACTTTCATCACAAACATCAACGATAAAAAAACGTGAACGACAATCATAAATCGACAGACATTTGGTCTTTTTTTTTATAATGTTTGGTTTTGTTATTTGATGTATAGCGAAGTTGTATCTTCCTTTTCATAAGGACGCTATTTTTTTGTTGTTATTTTTGTTTTTTGTTAGTGTTAACTAAAGCAAAAAAGAATCATTAGTTGTAAATAATCAATCATCATTTCATTTATTCATTTTCTAGATAAAAAGAAAATGAATATTATTTGGAATTTTCTTCTTCTTGTTGTAATAGTTAATTATTCTTATGAACGAGATGTTGTTAGATGGGTTATAACAAATGATCAAACAATTATAGACGAATCTCTGAAGCAATCTCTTAGACATATGAATCTTGGTGGAAATATTTATACTTTAAAATCAAAAGTAACAAATATTATTTGTAAAAGACGATTCTTCAATGGATTTCGCATTAAACTGTATTTCAAACTTGAAGATCAAATATGGAAATGTTTTCTTTATAAAGCGCCTGTTGAAACACTTGGTATACAATGGGAGAGTTGTACACAAACACTAGACGATGATTCACGTGAAGAAGTTCAATCACAGCAATCTAATAAAATAATTCCAGAAGAATCACAAGTAAATAATGACGATAAAGTTGAAGAAGAAGATGATGAAGCCAAAATTGATGCACTTAATCAAAAAGTACAAGAAAAAGAGACAAATAACGATAAAGCTGATATTGATAATAATAATCATCAAATACCTAATGAAGATAAAGATAATCAACAAGATTTTGAACAAAATGCAAATAGGGATGAAAATATCAATGATGAACAAGTTGCTAATGAAAATATGAATAACAATGAAGAGAACTCTGATACAAATAATATTGGACGAAAGAAAGATACTGATGATGACATACCTAATAAAGATTCAGATAATGATAACCTAAATGCTCAAGATAATGATCAACAGGGGCAGCAAGAAAATAACAATCATCAAGAAGAAATACCTGATAGAAATCAAAATAACGATCAGGAACAAAACCAGTGATATTTATCGATATAAACCTCATTTTTTTCTTCATATTAAATGTGATCGAATAAATTTTGATTGTTTTTATTATTTTTATTCTGAACTAACTCTGATATATTTACATTTATTTTTAATACTAACAATGACGCTTATTATTATACAATTTCATTTGCTTTCTACAATGAAAATTCTGTGTTATCTGATTAAATTAATTATTGAATTTTTATTTGCTTTTTTTCTGGTTAATACAGATGTTAGCACAATGATGCGCCATAAAAATGTGAAAGATGATTTAACTAACAATACTAATCTCGGATGGACTATTTAATTCTATCTGTTTTGACATATATATTCAAGCTATTTTTTAAAATTTTTGACTTAATTTTTCATGAATCGAATAAAATATTAATTCATATATTAAGAAGCCTTTCTCTTGTCATACAGATAGTGGTTAGGCGTCTTTCACAATCTATAGGAAGAAGAATATCTGAAAATCTCGCTATATAATTCAACACTTCGCTTACATTTTATTTTACAAAAGACAGTTAATAATAAAAATAAATCATTTGAAACAAACATTATCAAGCAAAATAAAACAAAAAATTAATGAACAGAAAAACATTGCAGACTGTAATTACAGATGAATTCATGTGAAGGTCAGAAATATGTTATAATGTATAATATAAAATATACATATGAAAAGATTGCAAAATTATTTGTTATTTTATTTATGGTTACATGATTCTGAAGATTGATGTTAAGAATGATGGTCTATGTTTACGATATAAATTAACTCTAGGACATATATCTTCTATCATTTATGTAATAAAAATCGTTTTCCAATTAGCTAGTTTCACAGACTAAAAAAGATATGGATAAATAAGACAAGGAGTTATAGTAACGATGAAAGTTCTTTATCATCTTGAATTTATTATCAATATAAAAGAAATAATCATTATCTGAATAAAATGTGAAAAATATTTTCGTAAATGAATACATAAAGATTTCAAGTTGGTAAAATATTCACACCAATAAAATTTTTTCTATATAATGACAATAACTTGTTCTATAAGCTTTCAATCATGTTATAAACAACTTTTCTTTCAAGAATATTTCAAAAAAATGTAAGAAAAAATTATAATTATCATTACACATTAGTTTGCTTGACAAATGGAATACTTTTAAATAAATTCCCGCATTATGTTTTTTCTTTATTATGCTTACATATTGTAAATGTTATGCATGTCCTAGAACAACCAGAAAACTAATTCTATTATGTAAGAACAGGTCACGTTAGAGGATGAAATAGAAGATTCTTTTCCGAATCAACTTTGTTGCTGTTTTTATCATTTTAATTGCTTTAATCACATTTGTTTCGTCTGCACACAATTATAACTAAAATATGCATGCCATTTTTTCTTGTTAGTTCTATTCCCTTCGGAGAAGAGAAAAAAATGGTATAGATATTGACAACAAACTATCTATCTTTTTTTCCTTCTCGTAGGACGCTTATTACCACGACATTATATTATCTCACTATTAATTCTATGCATCAGGATACTAGAAATAGCAAGTAAACATTTATTAAGAGACGCGCCAATCATCATTCAATGAATGAGTTTACTAGAAAAATGGATCGTCTAATGGAACGTCTGCATCGTGGAACGGAACAATGTGATCATATCGAACAACGGGCTTGTCTTGCCGAAGAACGTTTATTCATACTTAATGATTCTATTCAAACACTTGCTCGTTTAATTGATGTTAGTTATTTAATACTTGTTTCATTGGATAAAGAAAAATTCGCATGGTTAAAATTAATCAAAAATGAAAATATTGAATTAACAAATCCAATAGTTAAACAGTTCTTTTATCGTCTTGAATTATATTTAAGACGAGCAATTGTTGATAATGATGAAAAACGAGCATATATTCAAGCTTTACGTCTTCTTCAATCACCATTAATTTTATCATCTGATTTTTTTTGAACATGAAAGAAGAAAAAAAAAATGAATAACAAATAAAAAGTTTTTTTTTTTTTAATTTAATTTTAATCTTGATCTTCATCATCATCATCATCTTCATCTTCATCAGCATTTGTTGTATTTTTTTGTGATGTTGTTTTCAATTCCTTGGCTGCTCCTACAGCTCCTGTTGGTTCATCTTCATCTTCACCAGGTAGTTTACCTTTAATAACACCATCTAAAAATATTAGATTCAATCATCAATAATATCTTACGAAATTCTTCAATATTTACCTTCATCTTCTTCCGAATCTTCATTATCATCACCAGGTCTTTCAGTATTTTCAATAGCTGCATCTAACATAGCTTCCTAAAAATGACAAAAACATAATAAAGATAAATAGTATTCAATTGATTCATATAAATTTACTTGAAGTGCAGCATCATCGATATCAGTTACGACTTTAGGCTCCATTTTTATTTTAAATATTCCACGATATTGTTCAATACCTTGTTTAATCTTGTCTATAACATTTCTTAATGCAGTAAGACCTTCATTTCGATCAAGACATGTCGCTGTAACAACATAAAGTGGTGGAGCAATGAGGTTTATCTTAGAAAGAAAACACAAACAATTAAACATTTTATTATTATTATTATTTAAATGAAATTTAAATATTTACTTTAACTGGCATTTCTTCTGTTGATGCACTAAGTCCTTCTCTTAATGCTGCTTTGACTGCATCGACACCGTCATAACCATAGCATGCAACTTCAACATCTAAATATTATTAGAATAGGTAGTTAGAACAAAAATTACATCAATAAAATAAAATATCTACCAGCTCGACATTTAACAGCTTGAGGAGTAAGACGACGTCGAATATTATTAACTAAAATTTTTTTTGTATTTTCATCGACTTGACAATCATCAAGTTCATGTTCATCACTGAAAAAAATATTAAAACAAGACATATTCAGTTTTGTTCTTCTCTTTCATAATATTCACCTGACAGCTCGTACAAATACATCATAAGCTGCACCTGGTCGTTTATATTTTTCATCATAATACCAAGCTGTTTTTTCATATAATTCTTCAAATTCTTCATTATTTTTTATTCCTAATACTTCAGCTGTATGACGAAGAATACTACTCACCTATAAAAATCAAAGTTTTCAAGAAGTTTTATTTATAAAACATACTGTTTTGCCACGAACAAATTTTTCTTCACATTTACTAATATCTTCTGGTGATACACGACGTTTTGATAAATCAATATAACCTACAATAGAAATCATCATTGAAAACTTTTTATTTATATTTTTCTTTTGATATTATTTAATTTCAATAAACCTTTATCACGATCGACACGAACAACAACAACAACTTCATTTCGACCAACACGAATTAACTTATTTATTGAACGAATACGACGACGTGATAATTCAGTTAATAAAATCATACCTAATTAGAAAAAGAAAATTTATATTAAAGAAAAAGAAAAAAAAAGGAATTAAACCTTGTCTATTATTATATTCAAGTAGATTTACATAGACACCCATTTCTTCGATCTCAGTAACATTAACCATAACAAGATCATCTGTTTCAGGGAAATGGTTTTTGTAAAAACGGCACGTCAGTTGCATTTTGTTTGTTTGCAAATCAATCTGAAATATGAAAAAATATATAATTCTAAAATCTGTACATCATTTTTATATTAAACAATAAAAGAAAAAAAAATATGTATATGATGAAAGTTCGAAAACTGCCTATCACAACAAACAACTGATGTAATATTGGTATATTGGATAAGCCTCTCAGCATTGGTTGAAAAAAAAATACACAAGTTACAAGGATGATGTCTCTAGTATCGCTTTATTCTATTGGGGAATGAACTTTTATTTCGTTTGATAACAGCTGTAGTTGTTTTCTTTCCAAGGTCCTAAGCAGACCGGCATAATTAATTCAAAGTGAATTAAGAAACATGATTAGTGTTTCTAGGTAACAACGCCAATTACATTGGTTAATTTACTTTGAATTAAGTCGGTCTGTTTGGGGTCTTATCTATACTTTTGTTCAGTGATTGTACGTAGATGCGGCAACTATTACTATTACGTCGTTCTTTAATATCTGTACGGTTTTCTTCGTATTCGGTATCACCTCAAGCAACAATTTCTCATGATGGACCGAATCCACCTACACTCGCAGAACATGTCGATATTACAATTGCTGGTGGTGGGCTAGTTGGAAGTGCTATGGCACTTGCTTTTGGTAAGATTTTCTTATCTGTATTTTCATTTATTTGTATATTTCTTTTAGCTTCATCGCCTCTATTTAAAAGCTATAAAATAGTTCTTCTGGAATCTCAATCGAAACTTCCACAAGTTTCTAAGAATAAACCATATAGTAATCGTGTTTGTGCTCTTAATGCTCAATCAATAAATTTATTTGAAAGTATGATTTCATTTGAATATTTAGTAAAATAAAATCATTTTTTTTGCTTTCAGAACTTGGAGCATGGGATTTAATGAAGTCTATTCGTGTTCAAAAAGTAGCTCGAATGCAGGTAAAATTTCTTTTCTTGAAAAAAAAAAAGAAAAAACAATAAATATTTTTTAAATTTTTTTTATTGGTCTGGGATGCTTGTTCAGACTCACTTATAGCATTTGATCAAGAACATCCATCAGAAAATGATTCTCTTGCTTGTATTGTTGAAAATGATGTCATACAATCTTGTTTACTTGAACGATTGAAACAATTTCATATTGAACCAAGACTTAATTCAAAAGTTAAAAATTTTGAATATGAAGAAAATTCTATTCGGATTAAACTACAAGATGAAAAAATTAATCTTCGAACAGGATTATTAGTATATTTTATAGATTCATTTTTTTTTTCTTATTGATTAAGAATATTTATTTTTCTTAGATTGCAGCTGATGGCTATCAATCAAGTATTCGAGAAATGGCACGTATTTCAACAATGCAATGGGATTATAATCAATATGGTATTGTTGCTACACTTCAATTAGCCGATAATGTTTGTTTATTTTGAATTAAAAAAAAACATCTTTTACTATTTGCAAGATTTAGATGCCAGATAATATTGTTGCTTGGCAACGATTTTTACCTACAGGTCCAATCGCCTGTTTACCAGTAAAAATATTCTAAATGATATATTGAAATTATTGATATATTTATGTTCTTAGTTAAGCAATACACATAGTTCACTTGTATGGACTGTACCAAAATCAATGCATAAAACACTAATGCAACTATCAGATGAACAGTTTGTTGCTGAAATTAATAAAGCCTTTGTAAGAAAGCACAGACAAAAACCGAAGTGTTTGTTTTTTTTAAACATATTTTAATTTAGACATCTGATGTTTATAAACAGAGTGGAACTATTTCAATAACAGAACGTATTCGATCATATTGGCAAAAACTGATACCAGGTATTTTGAAAAGAAATCTATGTCCGTTTTAAAGAGACGTACAATACTAATTAAAAATATAAGACCAACGTATTTTTTTTAGTTTTTTTTTACGATATAAAGCAGTTAACTCAAATCAAAATAGTATTTTGAATAGTCAATGAAGTTATCTATTAAACTCATTCCATGCAGAAAGTTCTCATTAATGGACTATGCGAGAAAGGTTTCTCAATAGTTTTCATATTTCAGAAGACAGTTTGAAAATTAGTTTTTAAGAGCACCAAATTAAGGAGTACGACATCTTGAATGAAATGTGAGATCAATGTATTTCTTACGACCTTTTCTTAAAGTTATACGCATCACAAAAAGTGAAATTTATCATACAATTGCTAAAAATCACAATCTTTTTGATTTCTTGCGTGGCTTATAACTTTTTAAGAGAACATGGTGAAAAATGTAGTGACTTCACATTTTATTCAGAGTTTTGTGCTCTTTAACATGGTACTCTTAATATATAATTTTTATACAGTCTCGAAGGATTGAGAAACTACCGTGTTTGGTTTTTTAGAAACTTTTCTCTGATAATTCATCCAGGAAATTTTGGTGTGAAATATATTTGACAGAGAACTTCATTATATATATATGAAATGAATATCTCGAGAATAGCAGAAGATAATAAATGAAATATCGTTCCATTGATATTGCTTTCTTATATTGAGTCAAACATGTATTAAATTTATGAATAATTTTGTATAGGTTTTGACTGTTTTTGTGTTGATGATTGCTTTTGAAATAGCTGTTATTGTTTTCAAGATATTTTTTCTTGTTCTTATCATCCGCCTTTTATATTATTATCGATATAACATTTTGAAATAGTTTCACCGACAACGTTCCAATATCCACCAGTTATAATCAATATTGAACCAAGATCACGAGCAGCATTTCCATTAACAGTAAAAAAACAAAAAAAAACAAACAGATCTTTTAGTTAATTATGTAATGTCATTGAAAATATTTAGCTTCTCAATGCTAATCAATATGCTCGGCCTCGTTTAGTACTTATTGGGTAGGATTTAGTTAATTAAACTAAAAAAAAAAAAAGAACACTAAACGTTTTCTTTTAGAGATTCTGCTCATCGTATTCATCCCATGGCTGGTCAAGGAGTGAATATGGGCTTTGGTGATGTACTATGTCTTATTAATATACTTGAACAAGCTGTTCGAGATGGTGCTGATTTCAGTATGAGTTTTTTTTTTCTTTTTTTGATCTTCTAAAATTTGTATATAGGTTCTTTGACATACCTTGTTGATTATGAACGTCAACGGCAATTGCAATGTTTAGCAAGATTATTATCTATAGATTCATTGAATCGTCTTTATTCAACAAGCTTTTCGCCTATAGTTGCACTTCGAAGTGTTGGTCTTAGTTTTGTTAATGAATTTTCACTATTAAAAGTAAATTTAGATTTTTATTTAATCAAAATTGATATTGATTTTTGTTTTTGTTTTAGAAATTCTTTGCAAAACAAGCCGCTTCTAGATCTTAATGGATAAAAATTTTTTCTCTCTCATCTTTGTATTGATTGAATA